AAAAAACAAAAAGGAAAAGCGAACCGCATGCAAATCTCCGATATATGCACTCCAAGTGTGTGGAGGCCCCGAAATTTTCAAGCTGTAATTTGCGGGAGAAACTGTTTACAGCCAAAAAGAAAACGGAACAAAATAGTTCACACAAAAACTAACTTTGGAAAGTTGAACTAGAGAACTGGAATTGCAGAGGGAGCGCTCAGATTTTGTAATGATTTTCGTTGTTGATGAACTTTGACATGTTTGAATAGACGGGGGACTGAACAAGGGTCGGATATTTGCACTCGAAATGATGGATATGACGATGTAAGTGAGTTTAAAATGGATAGGATTTAAGGGAGTTTTATAGAGATGGAAAACAGAATTTTAAGGAGGTTTAAATGGTTGAACATATTTTATTATTTGTATTCTTTTATTACAAGAAATTTCAAGAGGCTAAGCTAGTTTCAACAAGACATCAACCTCACCTAAAAATCTATTTTAATTTTTTCTGACAACCAAACTTAAGTTAAAATTTAATTATACCATTTTCCAAAAGTTTACCCATTACATGCTCATTAACGCCTCCTTACACCTCCTTTAAGCCTCAGCCAAAGTCGTACACATGTTGAGATTTTTCCCTGAAAAAAAATGAAAGACCTTTGCCGAGATTTCAACGAAACCCGCACAAAGTGCTAACCAAAGTAACCAAGAAGAAAACTTCCTGCAAAAAGATTTCTATCAGGGAACATCCTTCCCCTCCCGTCTGTCCACACTTCATTCAGCGCTGGCGAAAGCTAACCAAAGTGTTGCACTTACTGCATTTAAATGAAATTAAACATATTTCCTGCAGCGACAAAGCCAGAGACAGCGGGCACAGAATTAATTTGTTGAATGCGTTCTCAAAGGGCCACAGGCGTAGAAGGGGGGGCCTCAGCAGGGGAGGGGCGCATGGCATTTGTAAGATGAAAGTTTTGCGCTCGAAGCTTATCTTAAGTGTGCTCCACGCTTTTGCACTCAACTATTTTTGCAATGCGGATGCGAGTGTCGGCTGTAGGCAAAACTTTGCCGACAAATGTGGTTTCCGCTGCTGCTGTCTCCCTCTATTCAGCGCCCTATATATATATTCCTACGTATATAGACTATATGCGGCTGTAAGTGGCGTCTGAATCTCCGTCTCGCCATGGCATAATTTTCGCGCTTTTGTGCGCATAATTTAAATGACTTTTGAAAAGTTTCTCGAGTGCCGCAAAGCAGGCATTTCAGATAAGAGTGCAAGGTGTCTCCGGCTCTGAGAATCTCCCAACATTTCCCCTCCATCCCCACAAGCCGTGTAATTATGATAATGTTAGTGTGCCCAAGTGGTTTACCCCGCAGATGTGTGAGGAACCTCAGAAATGTTATGGAAATATTGCGTATACGCAGCGGGGTACGCCACAGAAACGTTTTGTCATCCTGAGTGCTGAGCTGTGGCTGGGTACCACTTTTAAGTGCCTTAATTGGGTAGAAAATTTGTGTATTAATTTGTAAAGATTCAAAAAATATTATTCTTTATTGAGGGAAACATTATAAATGCTTTCTTTAATAGACAAAAAACTTCTTTTAAGTAGCAGAAATACCTTTCTAAATTATTATATTTTTATATATTTTTCTTGTACCCTCCTTAGGTACCTTATTTCCTTTTTAGTAAGCACCATCTCTGATCCTTTTAGGTTCCCTTAGACTATCGGTAGGTGCGTGTCGAGGTTAATTGCTAAACGTCAACGCTCAAGCTGCTGAAATCTATGCAAATAACATTAAATTATTAAACATTTTTCTTGTGCGGGGGGCCCCCTGAAAGTATTTAGCATATTTTGTGTGAAATTTGTTTGCGTGACTCAAACAATTAGTAGACGCACACCGAGGTTTTGGCGGTATGCCGGCTCAGCACTGAGACAAATAGGTTATAGTTCTCTGCTAAATAAATCTTATATATTATAAACTCGTAGAATTTTTGTTCCAGTGTACATGTGTGTGTGTATGTTGATATAGCTGCTCCTGTAAATAAGCGCGCTCATTAACGTTGTTTGCTTTTTTTTCGACTGCGGCGAAACCCAATGGCCGAATGTCAAACCCCGAAAAACAGGAAATTTGCATAAATACCAAACCAAAACCAAAGCCAACAGCGCTGGGCATTCGGCCATGTAATTGAGAGCTAAAATTAAATGCAAATGGTTTAATGAAACAACAGTTATTTATGTTCATTTACTTTGTTTGTTTTGTTCGGTTCGCTTTTTTTTTTTTTGTGTTGTGGTATCAATCAACCTAAAGTTTTATTATTTAATTATTATCGCATAATTATATAACTGCTTACAATTTAATTCTGTCAATCTTAAATGCAAATTTGTTTTATTTAGCTTATGGCCCTTTTATTTTTGTTTTGTTTTGAGATTGTTTATTTTACAATAGTTTAGCGTTGATAACTCAGCTCATTTTCATTTGTAACTTTTGTAAAATAATAAAATTATATAAATTTAAATTAAAGAGAATTTAGTTTTAGTTAAGAATTATAGATGTAATTTCTCTTTCATGAGAAACTTTAAATAAAATAAGGCTTGATTTAAAAATATACTCCTTAAATGAATAAATTAATTTAGAATACCAACGCATCAAAGTAAATACTCTTTTTCATTTGACTTCCGTCTCTCTTACAGTTTTTTACACAATACCATCTTTTCGTTAGGAAAACACATCCGTTCTTATATTCGTATTTGCACAAAAAGCTTTAAACATATTATATATTATCCATTTGATGTTCAGCTAAGTTTTCAAATACAGGCAACAAACAATATAATTACTTTGTATAGTAGGCTATATAAGTAATATATATATTTATATTATAATTATAATTATTGTTTTACTTGCTTAAATATGTGGGTCCTAGTTATATGAACTTTACATAATTCTTTTTCGCTTTCGTTTAATATTTTTCGTTTTTCAAGAGGACTTGGCTAATGTATTTTGAATTATTTACTGGCTGATTTAATTCTGTTTGTATGAAATGCTGAGTGTTTGATGTTTTAATTATACTTTTCTCATATTTACACACAACTAAAGGGGTCAACATTTATTTACAGCTATATTTGGTTGCATGATATCCCCAAAGAAAGGGTTTATTTACACAAAATAAAACAGAAACACAAGTTGAAATTTTAATTAGAGCAATTTATTAATTAAAATTAAATGTGCGGTTAAATTTGGAAAACTCCCAACGAGTTAAAGCTAGCGAAAATGGTACTTTGTTATTCAAGCAATTTAAATAAATAAAAAATATAAATATAAATCTGCGCCAGTTGCAAAATCTACGACTCCCTAGGGCGTTACCCGATAGAGGGACATATCCTTGGCCTGCCATCTTGCCAGCTGCATTTATAATGCTTAATTAGCTGCATTGTTCAAGTTAACTGCACAGGCGACCTTATTCGAAGCCCCAGCTGAGGGGGGAATTAAATAAAATACATTAATTTTGTTATTGTGGAACCGTCGACACATCCGGGGGCGCCATGCACAATGTTGATTATCAATATTTTGCGCGCTGAATGTGCTTTTCTCCTTTTCGGCATTAACAACGTTAATAAACGAAAGGGTCCCTCGCCACGCCGGAGAAAGGCAATTTCGCATGCGGTTTTCCATCGTTCATTATGTTTATATGTCAATGCAAACTTTATGCAACACAAGTTGAATTATTAAAATCGTGCAGCGATGACGGAGAGGCATAAATGCAGTAAATTGGCCTGCCTTTAACCCTGCAACCGTGCTGTTTATACATATACACACGAACCTATGTACGTATATATGCAAATGTGCCATATATCTTCTGGCCTTAATGTCATTTTTCTTTGCCCCGTCGATAGTCTGTCTCCGTCTCCGTCCCTGTCCCAGTCCTGTCCCGTCTCACTCGCTCCTTGGCCATGGGCTCCCGGGCATGAGTTATGGCCAATAAATTGGACATGTTAACTGTGTGTCATTGTGCGGGGCCAGGAGACCGCAGGCCACGCAATTTTATGCTGAAATTAATTGCAAGTATTTCGCACGGAGGCCGGAGAGAGGAGCTCGGAGAGTTGGGGTATGGATGGCTTCAAAAGGTGAGGCCCAGCAGACAGGACACATGGCAACGGGTCGTATGAGTAATAATATAATTAGCATGCACATTTATTAAAAAGTGATGGAAGCGCACAACGCACAAGAGCCGGCGTCGTGCAGGAGAGCTGACAATGACGAAACGGAAGCCCGGGAAACGGAATCAAGGCATTGCAAATTATTATTGCAAATTTTTACTCAACGATAGAACAGAGGCAGCGAACGAAACTGTGTTAAAATGAATGACATTTTTAAGGCGTTCCGAAGCCGCCGATCTGGGCGGATTGGCATGACAGGCCGTCGACTTTTTCTTTCATTAAATAAATTGGAATTTTTTTTTTTGCTGGCTGCCCGGTAAAGGGGTTGTGAAAAGTTTGTCACGGATTGAACGAAGAAATGCGCTTGACTTTAGCGGTGGGGTTTGGTATATGAAATTCTTTTTAATTGCTGTGCAGCTTTTAATATTTATAATTGCGCTGCAGTTGATCGAAAATTAATTAGGAGTAAAGGTAAGAGACAGAAAAAAATGAAAATCTCTAGAAAATATATTAAACAACTAGGCAAGAAAACAAAAAAAGTAATGAAATGTTTAAAGAAATAATACAAATTTTGTATTTCTTATAAAACGATATGAATTTGGGATATGTTTTTATTTAAAACTGAGGGTTTTTGCTTGTGATATGTTTATAAAGGATATAGTAAAATTCTCTGAAGTTAAAATATTTAAATTCATAAAAAATCCTTTTCAAAGCTTGGCTTTTTGACTCTCCTTAAAACAAAATAAAATGATATTTCTTACCAATTTTAATTTTGTAATCCATATATTTTACAATTATTTTTTAAATTTCAACACTTCCTTCGTTTTGTGGTTGAATGATTTATCTTAAGCTTACAATTTTATAAATACTATACATACAATGAGCATTTTATTGTTTTGCGAAATACTTTTCCCTTTTGGTTTTCCTTTTTCTTTTTATATAATTTTACAAATTCCTATAGCTTTGAAGTGAGCCAAGTTTGAAGCATTTTTTGTTTTTCATATTATTTGTTTTTGATATACTTTCAGCTATGAAATATGTTGATGTACCTAAACTAAACCCCGCCCCGTTTCTAGACCCCCTTTGGCTGCATTTTGGAAATGCTTATTGAGTAACTCAAGCGATTTATTGATTTCAGAGCTGGGCCAGATAGAATCCAGAGCCCAGGAGCAGCGAGCAGCTGAGCAGTGCTCTATGAAGCCCAGGGGCAGCTGTAGAAAGTATGATTTATATATATAGGGATTGTAGGCGAAGGGGAACTTCAGTAGTACTCTATGGGACACTCACCCACTGACGAGGCATACTGATTCGGTGGTCGATCCGCATCGAACGTGCTCTTCCCTGTCGCCAGGGAGCCCTTGGTGCCCAAGGACGACAGGCTGTTGCCCGCCGCTCCTCCGGGCAGGGCAGAGGTCTGCATCGAGGTCGAGGACGAGGCCGCCGAGGAGCTGGCCCCAACTCCAGAGGACGAGGATGAGGCTGAGCCGGGATATAAATCGTTCTTCATGGCATATCCCACATCCGTTTGCAGGGCCTTCGTTGTGTCGTTGCGTGATGAGGGTATGATATTGTCTGCAGATTAAGTGTATAATGATATATATTAATACTTCAGTATACAGTGGGTTAAAAGTGGGTACAGAGTTCAACTGTAAGAAGATTTTAACCCAAGAAAGCCGTTTGAATTTCACCCTTTTGGCTGTCCACAGTGGGTCACTATTGACTAGTAAAAGTTGCGGACTCTTAAACAAAACTTAACCCCAGACCGACATGGTTTTCAAGTTAAATTGCCTGGAAATCTTGGCTGCGATACAAAAAATTTATTTCGCCCACACACACACACTATCCACACACTTGGGCATTGACACACTACACTTCACACACACACAGGACACAGCACACACACCCGGTACACACAAACAATAACATCCTTTGTTGGCTGACTCCTGGATTAGGTTCCGTTGCATTGCTCGCGCGTTGCTTTGCCAGTCACTTTAAATAAAATATGTTTGGTCTTTTGCCCCGCTCTCCAGCTCCAGCTTTAGCTTCAGCTCGCGCCGGCTCCCGGGCTCAGCGTCTGCGGCAGTGTTTCAAATGTGTTTCCAACCTAATGCCCCCGAAAATCCTCCTCCGTCGCAGGCATAATCCCCAGCATATTGCTTTGCCCACAGCCAGCACACGGACATGGTAGCGGAAAAAGGACACCGGCCCGGACACGGACAGAGACTTGAAAGAGTGTGTACTTTTCTGCTCGACTTGAATTTCAACAAGAGTTTGCGAAAAAGTTCACACTGAAAAATATTTATACCCTTGCAGGGTATTAGAATTTCAGTCAGAAGTTTGCAACGCAGTGAAGGAGACCTTTCCGACCCTATAAAGTATATATATTCTTGATCAGCATCAACAGGGGAATCTTTCTAGATATGCCAGGAAGAAATCGATTTTTTGGCCATTTTTGCGAAATTTTATAAGGGGTTACATCATTAAAATTTTTAATTTTGATAAAAAATTGAATTTTCAAAATTTTTAAATGAAGTATGCAGATTTATTAACTGTAGAAAATCTTGCACAGAACAGTTTTCCGATTTAAAATTAATGTTCTTTTGGCCGAGTTATGATATTTTTAATTTAAAAAATAATCAAGAAGTTTTTTAATATAAAAAATCCGATTTTATAATACAAAATAATATTTTTCTAAGTCAAGGAATCATTTCCGACCCCATAAACCATATATATTCTTGATCAGCGTCAACAGGGGAATCTTTCTAGATATGTCCGGAAGAAATCGATTTTTTGCCAATTTTGCGAAATTTGATATCATTAAAATTAGCAAAAATGGCCCAAAATTTTTATTTCTTAAAATTTTAAATTTGGTATGCAGTTTTTTTCAAATTAATAAAAACTGACACAAAACTGCTTTCCGAATCGAAATTAATGCATTTTTGGCTTAGTTATGAAAAAAGTTAGTTTTCTTTCTAGTTGTATTTAATGTTGTTTACTAATTAAAAAAAACTTAATTAGTTTAAAATTCTTTATAAATATCATCAATAATTTAGCTAAAAATAATTTATTATTATTTTATTTTATGAATTTTTATAAATTAACAAAGCTTAAGATGTTTTTTTCTCTGCGTGTGAGTGGCGAAAAGTGGAAAACCCCGTCGCTGAAATAGTCAAAAGTGCTTTACTTTATCTCTTTGTGGGCGTGTCTCTACCCCCCTAGCCACTCCCTCTTTCTCCACCTAGCCCGTGCATATCATAGCCTCCCTCGTATCCCCCATATTCCCCCTGTGCCTCCCCGTTTTTGTGGATCTGTCTGGCTTAGCTGCTACTTTCGCAGTTTTGTTTGTGGCTCGCCGTATCCTGTATCCTTCCCCATGTCCTATGTGTGTGTGTGTGTGGTGTGACTTTCACGCTCAACACTGAATGTGTTAAGCACAAATACGAAGCATTCTGTGCACTTCCCCTGCACTTCCCCAAAAAACCCACTCTGGAAACCCCCAGCTTCACCGGGAACCGACTGATACTATACTTACTCTCCCTGGACTCGACGGTGGTGTGGGTGACCTGCTTGGATGGCGTGGAGGGCAAAGGTATTTCTGCAAATGGAATTGAATAACATTGCATAATTAATAATAATAATAATTAGAAAGGCATACAAACAGTGAACGGAAAGTATAAAATTATACAAAATGGTTTTTCATTACATTATGTGGGTGGAATTTATGTCGGTTTGCTGCCCATTGGTTTACTATGTCAAGTGGTTTCCAGTGGCTAAGGTCAAAAGCATACACTTGTCGGCAGCACAAAGTGTGTGTTTATAAATAAAATAAATTTTACTTTTAGTTAAAGGCCAGGCTTTTAGCCACACAACACACAAACACATGAGCTTTTTGCTGCTTGAAGTCTTGTTAATTGGAAGGTCAAGCTTTGGTTTCTGAGTTGATTAAATGGAGTGAAAAGGTCAAAAAATAGTATAATTTAATAAATAAAATTACATTTACCTCACTAAACATAACAATAAATCAAAAAATGCATGGGCAAAACTAAAATAATCCCATTTATTTAATAACAACATCTTACTTTTAAATCCAAAAACAAAAAACCCAAGGTTCAGCAAATGTTTCGATGACCTTTAGCACACGATCCTTAGATCCTTAGCATTTGCCATCTGCACAACAACCTGAAGGAGCAACTTGTAAACAGGACAAGAAGCCCGAAAACACAGGCAAAGTGCATAAAAAATAAATAAATAAATGCTGCTATCTGTAGGTATATTTGTTGGAGGCGAGTCCTTCGGCTAGCAAACGATACAAAGTCAAACAATTCCAAAATTCACCTTTATTTTCCGTTTACGTTTATGGTGAATGTGTCTCCATGCTGCTGTGGGGGATGATGATGCTGCCGGAGGGGCGTGGAAAATACAGGCTAGAATGGGGGACTACAGGAGAAGCTAGGAGCCAAATACAGGACAGATAGGGCCAGACACACCAGCCACCGACGCTCGTTTAGTTTTACGCTCCGGAGGACAGCGTATAGTGCATGTAAGGAGACGATGTCGGAGAGGAGATGGAGGTCCGGATGGTGGATTCCGGGTCTATAGGTAAAAGCTTTTGGCAAAATTGTGCCACAAAGGGCGCACGATATTGCATTGCTCCGGGTGGTGTGTGTGTGTACAGTCCTTGTTTGTGCTGGTGTGTGTGTTTGCTGTAACTAGTGCACTTAAGTCACCAATACAAATGCACTTACCGTAAACACGTATGGAGCCTTCCGTTTCCCCCAGCGAATTCTTCGAGATGCATCGATAGTTGCCAAAGTCACCATATTGCAGGTTTCTTATCGTCAGCTTCATGTGGGCACTGCAAAGGATACGTTACTGGTTAAGCTTAAGGATATTCCCATATACATATGTGTACATATATAGAAGTATATGTCTGGTGTTCTTTTGGCGGCTTATCTTCGGTTTTTGGGGGCGAAAACATTTGCACTTGCACCTGACCCCCAAAGGCAAGTGCAAATGCCTGATAAATATTTAACAACACAATTTTCGATGGTGTATTTTATTTAAGTTTATTTTATTCTTAGCTTAGCTTGGCTTATTCCCTGTTATCCCTGTTTTTGTTTTGTTTTTGAAAGTGACTTACCGATAGGAGTTCTCCGTGTAGTCGGTTTTATATTTCTTGCTCGGCAATACCATCACCGAGTTGTATACCCAATAGATGATGGCCCTGCAGGGTGGAAACGTTTCAGCATTTCGAGTTTAACTCAAATCGAATGTAAACGAAAATTTGTTTCAGCACACATACACACACTTGGGCACAAGAAAACTAATCAAATTCTCAAATGAAAGTAAATATTTTAACAAAATCAAAGAGAAATTGAATGTGCAAAATTCAACAGAGACACACACACTCATATGTTATGGGAAGAAAAAAAAAGCAGCACAACTAACAGCAATCAGGTGCAATGTAAAATTTGTTAAATCCAATGAAAATAGAAAGGGGAAATTGGAGCTGGGATTGCATGTGTTTGAAATGCACTTGAAAAAATGTAATAAAATTATAGAAAATAAAATAATATTAATATTAAGTGTGCTAAAGACTTAAAACCCATTATAATAAGTAAGGTTATGCGGTATATAATATAAAAAAAATTAATTTATTTCAATAAAATATATATATTAATTTATAAAACATATCTTTAACATTTAATAGAATTGTTGCACTTATAAAAATTAAAATAAGATCAACCTCTAAATCTGCTTTAAGAATAAATGTTCTTCTTGCATTTTAAAGTTATAAATAAATGTATTCCTTAAATAAAATATTTACATTTATAAATCTGCTTTAACAATTAAGTGTTCTATTTAAATAAAATTTATAATTTGACTTTAAAAAGCATATGCCAAACAGAAATCACAAAGTAAACAAGTCTCAGAAAGGCAGCCCTTAAATGTATGCTACACAAAATTTCTCAGCACAAAAAAAATGTATTAAACGGAAAAGGCAATAGACTCACTTGGGATGCGCCTCCGTGTGGCAATCGATGGTTACATCTGTGCCGGATGGAGCGCCAACAAGTTGGTTTGGCACCCAAATCATTGGCGAGACTGCGGATGAGGAGCGGAACGAGAGAGAGGGAGAGGTATGATATGGAACGTTAGCAAATGTAAATGGCACCTGGGGGAGAGCGTTCAGGTGTCGTTGCAAAGCACGCATAAGCGGCAGCATTACGCCTGTTCAACGTTTTCTGGGTCCGTCTGTCTGTCATTTTTGTTAGTTTTCTTCTTCTACTTTTTTTTTTTGCCCAGCTTAAAATGAAAGTGCAGTGACTAAGCTGGAAAACTCAGACGCAGAGACTCGCACAGCCAACACATATATATATATACTATCAGTGGAGCAATATACAATATGGCTAAGACAACACGTCAGCATAAGCGAGAGGGGTGGAGAGGTTGGGGTTGGTGTAGAAAAAATTAAGTTTAGCCGGAAGTACGTGCTGTGGATGGGTTTGTCACTTTAGTCTTTACCACAAGCGGGGTATAAAAGAGTTTTCCAAGAAGCATTTGTTTCGTGATCGAGGAGCTTATTAAATTTTAATGAAAATCTTTATTATTCCAATATTTTATAAATTAAGTTCAATGAACGTTTTATCTTCAAGAACATATCTCCTTTTTTCAGGTTTCTCCACTCAAACTAAACTCCCATTTTCCCTGCCTTAACCCTAATCGTTCAACATCAGTCTTTGTCTCTGTGTGTGCTTTCCAATATATTAAGCCTTCCATCTCACTTAACACAGAATATATATATATATATATGTTTCCTTTTTTTCAGCCAACCTCAATGAAACTGTATATTAGGTTGCGCATTTTACAGCCAGCAAAACCCAACTCTAAACATGAAACCGAAACCGAACCCCCGCAACAAAATTGAAAGGACCTGCGAGCTTGTTGGAAATTTTAAACGCTCCTGACAATGCCTACTACACCTGCAATTCGAGGCTGGCTCTGCTCCAGGACGACTCCGCCCCCCCTGGCACCACCCTCATCCCATCGGTTCAGCCACGCACAAAACCGTTCATAATAAAATAGAGAGAAAAACACTGACACACATATACACGGTGCGGCGGTACAGAAAAACGCCGTTAAAGTCATACGTGCAACGCCGGCAAGTGACTTTATTGCAGGTACGTGACGTGAATTATTGTCAAGGGGGGCGCTTGGAGGCAGGGGCGTAGTCGGGGGTAGTTAGGAGTTACAGGGGGAAAAGCGCCAGGCTGGCTGAAACTCGTTAGGATTAACAAGCGTTTACTGGCGCACGGCGTGCAATGGAAGCGTAACTTTTACGCCCAGGACACGGTATCTCTCTAACTAAAGTCACTGAGAAAAAATTAATATTAATACTAAATTACATTATGGAAAATGTATTATACTTTTTTATAAAGTTATGGTTATTTAAATAATGATTTTCACTTTTTTAAAAAGGCATTTGACTACTTTAAAAAGCTTCAAAAGCATGAATCTTTCTATTTCATTTTTATGAGAGAATATTGTAATGAAAATATTTAATATTATTTAATTTTAATACTGTAAAATGTAGATTTTTTATATTAAAAAATGTACTAATATACACAAATTTCTACTAAGTATTTAAGCTGTTTTAAATTAAAATTGTAAAAATAATAACCTAAGAGAGCTTATATAAAATACCATTTAAATTTCCTATATTTTTATTATATTTTTCCTAGCTTTCCCCATTTTCTTTCAGTGTATTCTATACACATACACGTTGTTATATATCAGCTGCATTAGATGGCGGCAGCTTAGCTGCGTTTGTCACTCATTGCCGGAGCAACGAGCGTGCAGTTAAATTGATGAGCACCAGGTAGCAACATCAGCTCCACCAAGGAATATGGCAGGATAGCTCGATGGATGTATGCCACTGTGAGCTCTTCTAGCATAGATGGATAGATGGATAGATGCCTGGCTGGATGAATGGCCTCCTCGCGTTCCGGTAAGTGCGCGCGCGTGTTTCAACTAAACTGACAAAAGCGCCACCAACTACGGTCTAATATAATTCGCAGCCCTTATTCCCACAGACTACCAAACTAACCCGAATTGCCCCTCTATGGGAATAGTTTTCATTCCTCATTTCTGCCATCGAATACTTACACTCCACGTCGAGAATGATCCGCTTGGACACCGAGGGCGGCACTCCGTTGGTGGCAATGCACAGATAGGCGCCCATTTCATTGCGACTTACTTTGGTCAGTGGCAGGACATCGCCATCGTACACAAGCACTGGTATTGGTATTTATATTAACGATGCAGGTGGATGGCCAGGACATGAAAATAAACGTGCCAAGAGCGTAGAGAATTTTTAAAATAAAATTGTCATGGTCTTAAAGCAATATTGAGAGAGGGGAAAATATTACTAGAAAATATTTTCTGGCTCCCAACGTAATTATATTGATTTGTACTTTACAAAAATAGTTTTTAAATAGAAAATATATCCCCCCTACCTTTCTTCTTCTTCTCAACGGCAATTTCCTCGCCATCCTCACGCCGCCAAATGATTTTCGGTGATGGGAATCCATCGGCTCGGCATGTCATGTTGATATTTTGATTTTCACGCACCGCCACCGAGGAGGGCGTGCTCTCGATGTCCAGTATGTTTGGAGGCACTGCGAAAATATCAATTACCGAAAAATCGGGGTATTAAAAGATGATACTTACCCACAACCTGTAGGTAGCCAACCTGGCTAATCATTGGATTCGTGTTGACCTGGCACATGTAGTAGCCGCGATCATCCTGATGGGCCTGGTTTACGTGCAGCAGCCACGTGTTGTCCGTGTAGGTGATGCTATAGCGTGGAATCCTCGAAATGACATGTCGGTGGATGGTCAGTATCATTTGCCGGTCGATGTGAATCCAGGCCACCTGCGAGTAACAGGCAATTTCAAAAATCGATTCGCATCATTCGGTCAATTTCCAGCTAATGTCGGCTGTCCCCACAGGGTCTCTCCTTAAAGATCTAACAAACAGTCCAAACACTCAGAGTCCTTTGGTCCGAGTCCCTGCTAAACGCATGTGTGTGGAGGTCCTGCCATTATAAATGAACGTCATGTTGTGACGCAGGACCAAGGATAAAGACAGCCTGACAGCTGTTTCCGCATTTTTAATACACTTTTTTTTGCGCCTTTGCTATTCGCACTTTCTTTGGGTTTCGTTTTTGCCTTTGCGTGTGACAAGCAGAAGATATGGTACACAGGGAAAAATTATGGTAAAATACTGTCCAAGATATCATTAATAGTGAGATATTATCCTTTGTACTAGCCCTGAAACTCCTATCAAATTTTAAATACAAGAAATCTAAAATTCCATGAAGAATTTCTTTGAAATGGTTTTTAAGCTATTAACAAAATATGTTTAAATTAAGTTTGATATTATGTTCCTTTCTCCTTTTCTCTGTATGCATCCCGAGAAGGATTGCAAGGATTTCCCCAGCCTTGGGTCAGCTGCAAACTTTTCAAATTTACCCTCAGCCCAAGGACTGACAGCAATGAGTTTCTCGCCTTTCTGCCCCGTTTTTCTACCAACTTTCCCTTATGTCCGCCAGGCCAATGTTGACAAAAGTCCAATAAGACCAAGGAGCAGGACTCGTGTCCTAGCCTGGCTGCTACTCCCGGGGACAGTGTTTTATATGAAGTTGATATGGCGAGTAAATATTTGTGATTTGTTATGAGCTCGCTGTGTGCGCTAGCCAGCCAGCAGCTGAGGGAGATAAATGATAAGTGATTTTCTAGCCATTTTGTTTGGTCGAGGGCATCCATAGGTCCCCGAGTCCGGAGAGTGTCTTTAGCTTTATTGTGGATTAGTTGCATATATGCAGTTCATAAATTGTAGCTGCGAGCAAAGGCAAACAATACGTTGGACTTGCTAATGACAGCTGAAAGTCATCGGAAGACAGAATGCAGAATCCCCCATTGATTTGGGGTCAATATTTCGATGAGCCGGCCGATTCAGTGTCCTTAAAGTCGGTTTCCCCTGCCTGTCAGTCAGTCAGTCAGCCGTCGCCTCGGTCCTTGTGCAATTTGTGAAATTGATTTTTGACAGTGTCCGTCTCGGTTACCAACCAACTCCTTTATCAAGTGGCTGTTGTTCGACCATTGCGTTCAGTTTACGCACGATTTATGATAATCTGCCTCCCCTTTTGTTCGGTCTGGTTACAGCCCCTTCTCTTTGGGGGCGTTTTCCCTTTCCTGGAATTTTCCCCATACCCATTTTCTCACCTTGTAGCCACCCAAATGCTCCACAACGCAGGGCAGATTGGCATCTCGGCCAACGGCGACGGTAACGTTTGGTATCGGTTGGGCGAAGCGTGGCTCATCCATCATGACTGCAAATGGAAAGTGCCAGGAAAAGTCGGTTAGTTAATGAGTGAAAAGGGGGAACTGGAGGAGGAGGATAATTCTATGCCTAAGCAAAGGGAACGAGAAGTTTTGATGAACTCCTCTGGCTTAAATAATTCTTCAATTACAAATCTGAAGGTGTTTTAAGGGAATTAATTATGAGCATTAAGATTATTATTAAGATACCTTCTTATCTTAGAAACTTAGCTATTTCTTTATATAACTTATGTATTAAAAAAACTCGTTTATTCTTCTTCAATTATATAACTCAATTCCTTTCTGGGTTCTGTAGAACATTTCCCTCAAATATAGTTTCGTGGAAAACTCTTGAAACTCTGTATGAATAATTTGTGGTTAAGGCAAGTTCATAGCCTTCGCTATGGCAACCATAACGAAGTCATTAAAGGCCAGCAGAGTGTGCCGGGTAATAAAAATAAAGAAGTGCAAATGTTGATGGAGGAGCAATAGCAGCTGTTGCCGGAAATCCCTGGCCCACAGGCCAAATATAATCAACAGCAACGGCAGTAGCAGTAGCAACAGCAGCAGCAACAGTGGCAGCCGCAGCCGCAGCGTCATTATGAAATAATTAAACAAAGCAATTTTTTATCTGGCCCCGGGAATGGGCATAGTATGGGGGGAAAAGCCAGGGAAATGGGGAAAATGGCAGCACGTAGTTATAGCCTGTTGAGGCTGCTGCTGCTGTTGCTGCTGCAGCTTTTGTCCTGGCACGAGTATTTTCCTCCTCTATGCATTCAGCTCGTGTTCGTGCCGCTGTCTTTGCTGCGGAAGTGCTGAACAAAAAAAAAGGAAAATAAAATGCTGTCTATTTTCTCGCTCGACTCAAGGATACCTCAGATCAGATACTAGTTGAATTATTACCTTAAAATTAACTAAAACTATTACAGCAAATTTTAGAAAAAGCTTATCGTCTGTACTTGTACATCTCACATTTACATTATGTATTTAGGTAAATAATTATTTATTTTGTATTTAAACTAGAATATTAAATAAATAAATATTTACGATATATTTTAAAGAATATATAAATAAAATAAAATACGGATAACTGTTTCTTTCTACCCTAAATACTCTAAAACACCTTTGCACTCTTGCGTAGGTAATTGGTATAAAAAAAAACATGGTCTACCTTCTGACCAAGCCGATGGGGGCCGTGTTTCCCGTTATCTGCGTCGTGCAGTCGGCACACGCCTCCCCTCACTGCCACGCCTCCTTCTGGTAGGTAGGCACCAGCACTGCACCTGTCTCACGGTTCACGGCTTTGGGGGGGGCTAGAGTTTTGGGTTGCCGGCGAGGACAAGCGGCGTTGCCAACGTTTTGAGGTCTCATTTTCTTAATTAAATTATGACCAGATCTGACAGTTTCAACATGGCGAAAGAACACGTATTTGGTAGCGGAAACACGAGCGTATGGAAAAGCTTGTTAAAGGATTTTTGAGAAAAAAGGAGGCTAAGGAAAAGGAAATACGGGAGGTTCAAGAGGTTGCAGTTTCATTAAATTGATTAAAATTAGATTATTAAAAAAAGGAGCTTAAGGTATTTATATGAATCATAGTAAAAAATTGAAAAAGGATTCGCTAATATTTAATTGCAAAAATCATAATTAAACGAAGAACTCATGTGCTCAATGCCTAGAGTTAATATATAGGATTTTAGGTACCTTCTTTTACTAGAAAACTTAACATAATAATATCTTTTTTTAATGTAGTTATTATTATATATAGATTTAATATTAAAATAACAAAAAGTAATTATTAACCTATTAAGACTTGTAATAAAAATCCTACATATTTTGTATTCATTTTTTTCTAATAGAAAAATATATGTAAATATTGTCTTATCATCAAACTAACCCTAACATCAACGAACAGTAAATCAATTAATTTTTAAAACCACTGATAAAGTCACACTGCTTATTAAATCTAAATAAATTTTAATTGAAATTAAAAATTAAAGTGATTTAGAAATCGGAGCTAAGCTTACCGTGCGTCACCAGATTCGTCATATAGATGAGGAACATAATCCGTCGATTTGTGAATCGACTGGGGAATATATTCAGTGCTATCAGCAGCAATTTAATTACTGTTAAAATAAACATTTTACTATTTTCTTAGTTGCTTTTGTGCTTCGTTAAACGTTGTATTTATCTATGATAGATGTTTTATATGTATATTCGTTGAATTATTTACACACACTGCCGTTGGCATTGTTTGGGCCACATTTTTATTTTTTCATTTTTCTTCCACGCTCAGTATTTATTTATTTTTTTTCGCTTTATTTTTCTTTCGTTTTGTTAAAACATTTATTTGATTTGCGTAATTTAATTTGCACACACAAGTGAACCCTTTGGCAATTCAAATTTCATTTAGCGTAAAGCTTTAAAAATCGCTTAATTCACTTGACGCGTCGAATTGCACTTTGGCCATTGTTTCTGTTGTTGTCGATGCGGTTGTTGTTACTGCGGACGAAACAATGAAAATAAAAATAAAAAACTGCAGGAAACACACGCGGAGAAAGCGGAGAAATGGCCACCGAGGAACGCCGATTTCAGGGGATTATGGCATTTATTATTATTATGGCAGTCGTCCTGCCATTTGCTATTGTACTCCTGCTCTGGCTCCTGCTACTGCTACTGCCCTTGCTCCTATTATTGTTGCTGCCTGGGCTTTACAATGTTGTATGTTGCACAACTACAACTTACACCAGCCACAAGTGTAAATTTATGGATCGAAACTGAAAATACCCTTGAGTTATTAATAACAATGGATATTTTTAATTGGGAAAAATAAACTAAAATATAAACTTGAACCTTTTGAGAGTATGAAACTGTGCATAGATTTAGGAATTCAAATTGTATAATATTATTTTGTATATTATTTTTAGATGCATACAAAAATGGTAAAAATCTTTAAAATATTTGGGTTTTAAAGAGAATATTATTCCATAATATTGTACATATCCAAAAGGTCTTATATACTCACTGACCTTTAATGGTTGTTAATTTACAATTTTAAAAAGTTAACTTTCTTTAAATTCCATATTACTCATATTTAGTGGTAATTTTTAGAAAACTTAACAAATATAATTCCCTTAATAACCTTCTTGTTTATTTGCAAACTTCAAATTGCCTTCGAATTACCCTTATTGCAGGCTGGAAAACAATGAAAGCTACCATTGCAACTTGGTGTTTACTACAGGGAATCCCCCTGCTTTGAAAGGGTTATGACTGGTTGTTTTCGGCACTCCGCTTGGCCAAAAACCAAGTTCATTTGGCTGGGCTCGCCCTGTGCCAATGCAACATTTATTATTAATAGCACTTTATTCCGGTCAGCCGTCGTTCGTACGATATATGTACATATAGACGAATATGGGCACGTATGAATGCGTTTCATTGATGTTACTATTTTATGGCCCCGGCAATGCGTTGTGTGTGTGTGTTACTACATACGATGGATGGGGATGGGGCCGGCAGTAACGGCTGTGTCATTGTAGCAGTTACTTTTAACGGTCGCCGTCATCGTGACCGCTGATTTCAGTTGTAACCGTTGTTACCAACGGGATATGACGGCATTTTCATTGCACTTCAATGGGCTTTGTTGCATTTTTTTTAACATTTTATGCTCAAAGGGAATTCCGAAGGAAGAATTGAGTTTGCCATATTGCGGCTTTTAAGTATAAGTATAAGGTATGTTGGTTAAGAGGTAATTAAATATACCTATAAGATGGGATTAATGGGTGTGGAAAAGGTTTGCTTTTAAGATTGCTTTGAAGAAGAGATTTAAGTAAAAATATTTCATGTTTATATTTTGAAAAATCTTTTTCTAGAAATCTTTTAAGAGCATCCTATAGTCTTTATGTATAACCAACAATTTTGTTTCTTGTTTTTCCATTGCCATGCACTTTAACTGACTGTTAGGCTGACATTTCTGCTGCACTCACTGACTTGGTCGCGAACAATTTCGCAAAATGAAATATGAATGAACATTCCATATCAGCTTCCTGGGTTGCCAGACTCATCCTGGGAGCTTCTCTCTTGCTACCGGAATACCGCTGATCCACTTACTCAACTCAACTGAATTGCCGCTCCAATATATAAATATTTGATTCCTACCGAAAAAAAAAAATATTGTTTGGGCTGATACATTTTTTGGTAGCTGAATATCCGCTGTCTGACACAGGATTTAAATATTAATGCTCTTGAATTTATTAATTTGGATTTTATATTTTAAGCTATTTGGTAATTAAAATGTCAGAACAAATCGGATTTCTCCAAAAACTATCGGGGTTAACAAATATATAATTCTTTTAAAAGGTTTTTATGAACAATAATTACAATAATGAAGTTATTCATCTTAGAAAGTAATAAGTCAATATTAAATACGTATTGTTCTTAATTATCATAGCAATTATATTTCTTTTTCCAATTATTTTTAATTAAATAACGAAAAAAACCCTGACAAGCGTAAAAATCAATTGAAATGACCTAGAAATTGCCGTCAAACCATTAACATGTGTCACCAGCAAAAGGATACAGATCCCAAACAAAAATCACATACACTGTGCGTGTGAGGGGGCGTGTCTTTTTGGCCTTGATGTGAATGTGAATGTGCTTTTTGAACCCAAAATGGGCGTTTTGTTGCCTTTACTGGTGCTTTTTTGACATTTTTTATTGCCAACAACATTGTTTAGCTGGGCTTTTGGCCGCTCTTTCGTTACGCCCCCCATTGGCCAGGGCCTGGTTTTCAAGTAATTAGGTTGAAATTACAAATTATGGGGTCCATGTACCAGATTATAACGACAGAATTGAGAGGGCTAGCTGGGGAAAATTACGGTTGAAAATCGTGGAAAACAAATGTTCAAATTTTAGTTGTTGTTGTTGCTCAGACTATTTTTGCCCTTTTCCAAAAACGGACAACAAACGGCAGCAACACAGCAACTGAAAAGAGAGCTCGTTAAAAAGCACTTAGGGGGAAAAATCAGGAACGCAGAGAGGCAGTTGGGGTAATTATGATGCAATCAGTCTGCCAGAGTCCAGTTTTAGGCCAACTTAACAAGCTTGACATGTATAAATTGAAGCCAAGTTGCGTTTCCGCTGGCAGTAGCGTTTCGCTTGCAAGCTCCAGCTCAGTTGTGACAAGTGAAATTTTCGCATTGTGCTAGAATTTCAAACCAAAAAAAAAAAAAAATAGACAGAAAATAAAACTTAAAAAAACGAGAGCAAATCCAAAGCGAATTGAGCAAAGGCAAACCATAAAAGACAGCCTCAACTGCACACTCAAGCCGGAATACAATGTAAATTATGCTCGAAGGTAGCAGAAGAAATGGCATTCATGGCTGTCATCTCCTGCTCCAGCTCTAGCTCCTGCTCCTCCTCCTCCTCCAGCCCTCCTGTCCCAGCCCTTCCTGTGTCTCTGTCTCTGCCTCTACTTCTTTGTCTGCGGCTGCGACAGGAGAATTGCAGAATTGTCCGCCAGGCAGCTGAGCAATGCCCGGAGATCTGACAGCCAGCGCGCAAATGGAATTGTTCGCAGATGTCTGGAGGGGGGATCAGAGGAGAAGTTCCGACACAGAAGAGCGGGCACACTATGCCAAACAATTTAGAAAATTAAGTTTCAAATAATATTAAATTAAATTTAAGCTTTGAAAAATAACTAAAGTTAACATTTAAAATGCAATATTCAAATAAAAGAAATTTAGTTTATATTAAAAAATAAATAATAAATATTTTATTAAAGTTCTATGTAACTTATCTTCTTACTGTTAAAGAAAAAACTAAAAAGATAATAACTGCCAAAAGAACATGCTTTTAAACCCATTGTCTCTCTGTAACCAACACATCATCTTCCTTTTCAACAATTCCTCTCCAAACATTTACAACAAAACCAACAAATTTTTCCTTTATTTTTGATTAATAACCCAAAAAATAACACAGAAAACGATTTGATAATTTTAAGTCATTGTGTGCCCTTGTATTAGTAAATGTTTTGTTTCCGGGGCTCCAAATGAAATTAAGTTTAAAATATAAATTAAATTTAGTTTGAAAAATAAGTTATTTTTTTTTTTTATTTAAAAATAAATAATAAATATTTTATTAAAGTTACTTATTTTCTGTTAAAAAAAAAAAAGGAAAAAAAAAATTATCCAAACATTTACAACGAAAAACCAACAAATCTTTTCCTTTATTTTTGCATTAATAACCCAAAAAAAATAACACAGAAAAACGATTTGATAATTTTACAGTCATTGTGTGCAGCCTTGGAGTGCTAATTAGTAAATGTTTTGTTTTCCCCTCAATTATCCTTTGTTCGAGCTTTGGGGAAAAATAACAATCTGGCAGAAAGCGCCCCGAGCAGTTAATGAGCTTGAGGCGAGAATGCAGAAGAACACGTATCCTTGTGGTCCATTTTGGTAACCAAATAGCTTACGGTTAGTTTCCGCGAAAGAGAAGGAAGCATTTTTGGTTGGGAATACTAGTTTGCCTCATTAGAAATGTAGAGAAATTAAATTGGGATTTAGGAAGGGTAATGTATATTTGTTTGGTTGAATTAAATTTAAAGGGGAAAGAATTCAACTGATTATTGAAGCCTTAGAAGCTGTGTACTTTTAATTAAATATTATTTGAAGCTTACTTTTGTTTTCTAGTAATTCGAAAAGAAAATAAATACAAATTTAAGAATAATATAAACTATGAAAATTGGCTTCACTAAAGTTTTATAATAAAATAAAACTTTTATTTGTTTTCTAGTAATTAATGAACTAACAAAATGAACATAACAAAACAAATTCAAATTAAAAAATAATAAAAACAATCATTTAAGAGAACTACAATATTTTTATTCTAAATTTTCTTTAAAAGAACAGTCACTTCCTAGTTTTGCAGGTTTATAAATCCTATAAATCCGGTGTGCTTTGTCCTGGTTAACTTGGCTGTATCTTAATCATTTTTAATTAATATCTTAACTTCCGATTAATTCAAAACTGCAACCCTTTTAAACAACTCCCTCTTGTTATTTCCCTTGTAAGCCCAATTAGAGTTCACTTGTTAGCAAATTGCTTTGTCTGACAGCGATTACATTTCAGATTTCTGCTTCACTCTATCAGAGAACTGTCAATCCCCGTTGCTAAACGTACTCTTTGAAATGCAAAAAACAATTGATTTATTAATGCACTCGATGGCAATAACACCCACTGGCTGGCTGCTGGCTCCTTGTTATCCTTCTCCTGCCACCTAGTGCAATGAACCAGAAAGATGATGTTTGAATAACGAGCCAAATGATGGAAATAGACGAACAGAAAAAATGAAAGACGATGATACCCAAAAACAAAATAAAAGAAACAGAGTACGGGGAAGCCCCGGCCAAATGCCGCTAGACTCCAGTCGGGTTTTCTCTTAGTTCCCGGCTCGAGGAGCAGTAATTCCTTTACAAGCTGAAGGATATTAAAAACAAGAGAGGAGTCGAAGCTGCTGCTGCTGCTGCAGCAGGAAGCAGGGAGAATGTTGCATAAACTTAACATAAATAATGGAAGCAATATTTCAGCTGCAGGAGCCAGACCAGGGCCAAGGAGCAGCAGAAGGAGCCAGGATCCTGCGAGCAGAGAGAGAGAGAGAGTGTCCACGGACCAAGTACCGAGTAGCAACAAATGAAGTTTGGATGACTTGCAGCGCCGGCTGATTGCCGTGAAATTTATGTGGCACAGGGCTGAGCGAGCAACCGTCTCGTCTTGAGCTGCAGCTGTATTTTTAATGAATTTTCCCCTCGCACACTTGCCTGCAGAATGCAAATTACTAAAAATAAAATAATAGAAAGGGAAAACTCAAACTCGGGCAACCGTACTCAGTCGCTTTCCCCGGGTTTCCTGCTGCGCTTTCTGTTTGCTGCACTCAGGTTTGGCGAAAATTTTAACGATCCAACCGCAGAAATTTATTGTCGCCTGCTGTTGCGGCACGAATTATTTTTATGACCAACCGCACTCACACATGGAATTAATTTTAATTGTTGAAAACACTGGCGAATACTTGATTTTTAATTCGCTTTATTAGCACCAGAGTACTTTTATTTATTTTCAGAGTAATTTGCCATTAACTTGTACGTGTTTTGGATTTATCTATGATTTATTTATTATTTTGGTTCCCAGAATTTTCTTCTTTTTTTTGGTTTTTTTGGTGGAAAACTCGCGGGGCTGACTTCCACTTCCGGAGCAAGTTCGAGCCAAACTGATTTCGCATCGGCAAGCTCAATGGTTCGCTTCATTGGCAAAGGCGACAGGACCTCGTCCGCCCTCGGAGCCGAATGCTCTCTCGCTTCGTGTTTGCTCGTTGGCTCGCTTCGTTCTATCCAAAGTTTCGTCAAGTTTCGAAATCGTTTTCGGCGCAGGCGTCGGTTTTTTTCGAACGAAACACGTGCTGCTCTCGGCTTTGGCTGTGAAAGAAATTCGAGGCGAAAGCGGAACCCAAATCAAAACAAATATTTTTCGTTAGCGCCTTTTTTTCCACCGAACTTTTGCTCTTCGCGACAAAAATGTGGGTGAAACACAGTGAGAGAGAGAGTAGGAGAGAAAAAGAGAGAGTCCGGAAAAAGAAAGTACAAAGGCACAACAAGAGCAACAACAACAACGTGTAAGCAACGCATAAATCTCATTGGCCAAGAATGTGTAAGCCAAAATTAATTCCAACGAGCGAACCGGCTTTTCGCTGCGGTTTCAGGCCTCCATAATAAGGGTTGACTTGAACTTGAATGGGGATTTATGAGGGGATGTGGGATTACGATTCCCGTTAGCAAAGGTGACTTAATCCGGAAATATTTGAAGGAAATTTAAAGCGGTATCCAAAGAAAATCCAAGTTTATTTGGAACTTTATGGTATACCTTTTTGAGACCATACAGATCCCAAACGAATTCTGATATCACTCACCTTTTAAATAATAAATTCTTCTATTTCTATATAATTTATTTATCCCAAGAAATATTTTAAAAAACGCCCTGAACCTTGCGAAGGCTGTCCTGAATATCAAGAAAATATTTATTTAATTTTATTGTAATAAAAATTAGGTCTTTCGGCTAAATATCCAAAAAATAAACTCTATGTAAGTCCAAAGTTAGAATGAAATACAAAGTTGTTTTATTATTAAAAAAATACTTTCTATTTATTCTATCAACAACATTTGTAATCATTAATTTCTAAACAGATAACCTCTATCATCATATCAACTCAAAATCTACATATTTCCCTTGCCCTCCGAATTTCCAATACACTCATAAGTAACGAACATTTTCCGAAAAAGAAAACATTTTCAAAGCAAGGCTCGTGGGCGTGACATTTTGCCTATCACAACTGAACTTGTATTGGGTTCTGCTCGGGCAGTCATAACGCACAAGTGCTCTCTGCCACGGAAACTTGGGGCTGAGTGTTACGCAAGAAATATACATACATATATTCTATTTCCCCAGCTCATCCCGGCGGCCTTCTGGCCACCCAATGATTTCTTAAGTTTTAATGCAACATTTTGCTTTGATATCTGCCAGTTCTGTGGGTAAGTTGTTGCTTTCCCGGTATTGCTGCACCCATTCCACAGCCAGTTGTGTCGGAAATCCAAGTTGATGTTTTCTTTATAAGTTCTCCAAGTAAACAAGGGGCCCACTTCCTTTATGCCAGGACCACCGCAGGGATGGGCAGAACGATGGGGGATTCTCAGGAAGTGCGCGCTTATGCCAGGAATTTGTTTTGTCTTTGGCGTCCTACAATCTTGTTTGCTTTTCTGGCATATTGCGGTTGACTTTTGCCAGTCGGACTGAAAGAAAAGGCCCCGCAACCAAAAGCCCGAAAAATATGAAAATCCATTGAAGTCTGGTGGCTGTAACTTTAATGGAGATTCTCTTTGTGGTCCCTTTATGGTGTGTGTGCCGATGCATCCATCACCCGGCCAGGGAAAACTCATCATAAAGTGAAGTGGATGAGAGACTCCCATGCCCATTCCGATTCCCTTGCCCACACCCATTTCCACAGACACTGCAGATGGAGCTGAAGAAGGATTTACAGCATCAGCATATGGGCATCATCTTTATCCGAGTGTCTGTGTGCTCCTCCTTTTATATTTATTACATCATTCGATGGCACAAACTCGCATATTAAGTGGATTGATGTATTAATATTTAAACGGCGATTTGTGGTTTGCGGTTTCTGGCTTAAGTTGCTCGGGGAACTTGACTTGGGCGGGTAGTTAACCCTTGACCCTTTCACGAACATGTGGCAGCCACTTTCAGTGGTAATCATGTCGGGATATCGATAACTGCTTCCCTTCTCCTCATCCTGTCACATTGAGAGGCGACCTTTGACCTTCCTCGCGGACATATGGAAGCCATTTTCCTTGGTAATGAGACATCTGCATATCGGGGTATCGATGGAAGTAGTCTTACCTCTTTGATGCCTCATTATTCCTCAAGTTTTCCGCTTTCTCTTCCCCTGATATGGTCACATTAAAAGGGAGTCCTGTGCGAACTCTTTGTGTGTGTGCGTGGCTCATAAATAAAACATAAAGTCGCTCGCCTTTTATTTTTATACATTTTATACTCTGCTGCAGCCACCGACAACTTTTCCGAGGTCGGAGCCGAACATGTTTGGAAAATGTTTATAAAATGACGCAGAAAGCGTACAAGTCATAAATAATGCGTTCGAGCTGGAGGAAACTGGCAAATAAAAGGGGGAGGGTGTGCCTAGCCTGGGAAGACTGAGTTGGAGTGTCGCAGTAATTTGAAATTAGCACGCGTTTGACATGCAAATATTGGGGAACAAGTTGAGACCCCAGCTTCCCCAGCTGGAAATCACAACTACAGCAGGCAACACGGCGTATACGCAATATGCAACCCATTAGGAAGTCCCTTTTTGAGTAAGGAAGGTCTGAACAAGAGTCAGCTTAAGATGTCTCTGTTATTGACCATTCCTGAGGCTGTTCTGCATATAAATGAGTTTGGAACTTTAAGGCGACCTACGAAAGATCAATCTAAACTTTATTTCCCCCCGCTCCCATTATCCTTTTATTTGTGGGGGGATGTCTTTGACAAATAAATAAATTGCAACTGACACATGCACAATTATTTACAATTAATTACGCCTGGGACACACGAGTGTCCTTCCCTTTCCCCTCCTCCGGCATTGATTATCCCACTCACATATGCAGTTTGGGGCGTGCCTTCCGCCCACACACATATTACACAAACACAATCGATTAACATTTAATTGCACAAGCGGCTGATGGGCTTCGGTCCGCACATTCCGTAATCGAAATTATTGTTGAGGCCTCTGCGCCAGAATTCGTCGCACTATTCCGGATGTAGGGTATATATGCACATTCGATATGAGCTTGCAGCTGGTCAGCCCTTCAGGTGCAGGCTGGCCATCAGTGAACAATGAAATTAGGAGCTGCAACCAGGAGCGAGGCAGCCTCCGTTCTGGGAAGAATGTTTATCAACCAGGTTAAAGCAGCCGCCAAAGCCGAGGGGCAATTTCACACGCAAGCTAATGCTTACCAAAAATAACCCAGAACCTAAAAAAAGAAAACTCTGAAGGCGTTTGCATGGCTGAGGTTTCCCATTCCGAAATGCTGTGACAACAAGCAACAAATACTTCCGCATTTCACACGTTTTTCCTCAGCCCGAAGGCGACGTCGGAAAAGAGGGTAAAATTCCGCAAATGTTGCGCCAAAAATAACATTTGAATACCAAAAAAAAGGTTCTTTATTCGCAGCCTCCTCGCAGCCTAACAAGAATGGAGCAGGAGCAGGGGACTGCCAGTGGAATGAAAATGGAAATGGAGACGACTCTATTTGGAGGGATTTTCGGGAAGGGAATGTTTCTTCATTGGCGAGTGAGTGAATAAGTGACACTTTTTTCGCTGTTGTTTCCCAGAGCAGACAAAAAACCAACAAACTGAACCAGAGTTCTGAATGATTTTTCTAAATTGCTCTGTTTGCTCTGCACTTTTGCCTCCCGTTTATTTTTTCTGTTGTGTAACGGATCCGATTGAATATCGTTGAATCGCGTTTCAGTACGTTAATATTTGATTTTGTTGTTTGTTTTTAATTTACTCGAAAGCAAATGTATGTGGACCTGCCCCTCTCGCTTCTAAACGCACATGAGGAGACAGACGAAAGCCATTCTACCCTCTTTTCCCTTCCATTAAACCCCCTTTGACTTCTGTCTGCTGCAGTGCATCGATGGAAATCGATATTCGAATGGATTCTGCACTCAACTCAACTTTAATCGGAATGAAGGAGTAAGACGATGTCTTCTTGTTCTGTGTTCCAGGATGCATCCTCTCCTTCTCCATTACATTCCGCTCTAATGAGTTTCCTTGAGAGAGTTCTCCGATGTGCATCCCAATCCATTTCAGTGTTGATTTATAAATTTAAGTTATTATTTATGCTCCCATTTGAGCAGCGTAAACATCTCTTCCAGTCAGACCTTCCTCCTCGTAGATTTATGCACTCCAGATGGAGGAATCAGTGGCTCCGGTCAGAGGTCAGAGGGAACTTCTTGACGAAAGCGAGTCCGAGTCAGAAAGGATTTGACCCACTTGTCCGTCCATCTGGACAGTCAAAAAACTCGTTTGTTTGCCCGGCAAAATGTATCTCGAAATACTTAAATTTCCATTCCTATTTTTCATCATCATCAGAGTCCGAACCAGCCGGAGGCTTAAGAGCTCACATGAGGCAGGAGAGGGGAAGGAATATTCGACTGGAATGTGCCAGCTGTTAATATTTTGACAATGATGCATAAGTCCTGGACGGAGGACGACGCGGACAGAGGCTCTCGACTCGACTCCTAATGCCAGACAGACAGTTGGCAAGATGAATGTCGACAGTCGGATGAAATCCGAATCCGAATTTCATATTCAGGCCAGGACTCGCAGGCACTCGACCCTCGACTCGGACGCATTCCTCGTGTTTTCCCAGTTATTGTTTTATTGTTGCCATCCTGAGAAGCTCGTGATGTTGTGTTCTGCCGTTTAACTGGCACCTTCATTAGTTATTCAAAAATTGTCGAGGTCGGAAGAGAGATGGCCTGTTGGTTGGGGTGAGATGCCGAGGTGGAGCCCAGTTGGACTCGTGTCAGAATGGATTGGGTTGTCTTGGACAGAAGCAGAGTGCACATGTGTGTCGAAGGGCATTACGACCCTTTAAGGGGACTAGGAGCATT